CTTTTTCCACCCAGAAGAGCTGGTGGATGAATACAATTGTAACAACTTTTGGTAGTCCACAGTTTGGACCATTTGGAATCTATGTTTTTTGTGCTAATGGTGACTGATGTAAAATAGAATGACGCTTCAACGTCCATCCATCAATGTCTGGTCCGTTTCTTATCAATTGTCAATTGTTACTGAATAAAATGGAGATTTGATGTTTTGAAATCTAAATTAAGTTGTAATGTCTAATGTGTGTACTTTTACTGAATATAAGCTGAACAGCCAGGTCTGAATGAATAACGCTACACAACTCCTCAAAAGTTGGGTTTGAAAACATCAGTGGTTCAGTCCTCTCTGAGCCCTTAAGGTGTTCCCACTCCAGACAGACGTTAACTCGGCTCAGTTAAACCACTGCTACTGTTAAACCACGTGAACTGAAAAACACTTGTTCAGAATGAGGTAACTCTTTTATTCCAATGATAATAAGATCCTAGCATTGATTTCATTCAATAATTTCCCTATAGGATTATTAAAGTATTTCAGATTCTGATTCATTAAGGCTCTAAACTGGGGAGGTTCACAGACCTGTGTTGGGGGGAATTTCCAGCTTGTCTATGTAGATTAAATTAAAACTAGCTGTATGTTGTGCTGCTTGTCAGTAGTAAATCTCACAAGCTTGGATATTTGCCTTTTCTGTTTTGACCCAGTAAGGAGAACATTGTCATATTTTCTTCTAAGCTGCCCTGAGCCATAGGTGGAACTGAAAAGCTGCTGGTTATGCTTCGACCTGCTTCACATCCACATAGACACAGCTCACTCAAGCATGGTGGAGTGACGGAAATGGTTTAGTATTATCTGGGTGGGCTGTGCTGAGTCTGGAGAATATAAGGACTGGTTTAAGCTCTCGGCTGTAAACGTGTTTGAATGCTGATGTACTCGTTTCCACTGAGACGGAAACGTTGGTTTCTCCACCATAAGGCCTGCAGCCTCGTCCTGAGGCGGTCCTCCTCCTCCTTCTTCTTCTTCTTCTTCTTCCAGGGCGGCGCTCTGCTGGGGAACGTGAACGCACTGCTCACCTGCTTCCCTGCGGACCCCATCCAGCAGTACCAGACTCAGTGTCAGATGGTGCTGGAGGGGCTGAGCCTACCGGGGCTGCTCCACAAGGAGATGGACAGACTAGCCGGGTGAGCCACTGTCCCAGTCCCCACCGCCGTGTTTCCAGCCGCTGTGGACCAGGTGCACCCTGTAAGAATGTCTTAATGAACGGTCTGGTCTCTGCTTTTTATCAACCAGGCTGAACAGCGGCAGCCCAAAAGCCTGCGATCCACCAGATATCGGTCATCAAAGCGGGTCGAACTCCAGCCAGATTCAAAGTGACGTCACCGGTGACCTGGTGATTTGTGGAGTGGACGGATTCAGGGTCAATAGCCCCCCACCGTCCCCACATGACGCCGACTCATTCGCGTTTACTTCCACTCAGCGGACCCCGAATAGGAAAGCAGACTCCAGCTGGTCAGATGTTAGCAAACAGCCGAGCGGAGTGACCCTAGAGGGTGTTCTGACCCAACCCAATGTTGCCCCGCTTCCTCTGGAAAGCGTTCCCATCGGGTCACAAAAGGGAAAAGAGGCGGATCGAGGTGAAAACAGCAAAGAGAAACCTCCTCAAACCCAGGAGGATGTGCAGCAGTGTGTGGGGGGGG